CTCAAGAACACCAACACTGTTTCAGCCAATCAGGTGTTTTTGTGGGATTAGTCTCTGGGCAAATTGTCAATCAACAGTGGCTCATTCTGAAAACGTAGCCCTATATACATTTCTAGAGAGTGTGAATTATGTAGCCAGAAATACTTATGGCTGCATTTAGTTTTTAAAATGAAGAATACGGGGCAGTATGACGCCATTCCTTTTTGCGCTCACCAGCTGCCCGCTTAATTCCATGTGGATGGCTTTTCTACTGTTACCAGTTTGTCCAGTAGTTCGCCATGTAGGTCGGCCGACTTGAGACAAAGAGAGGAGTTATCCACTATGATGGGGTTTAAATGCACCAAAGAATAGTTCCAGAAAGCGGGCAAGACAAAAATAAAAGCAAAAAAATAAAATAAACAAGTAAATAACTGTGTGAGAATGTGGTAAAATCAGAAAATGTGGTAAAAATTAGGTGAGGGCTTTTCTTTTTCTGGATTGCTTTTGAAAACACTATTGGTTGGGCTTATCAGACAGCAACTTCTGGTGGATTTATGCAAGAACAGCAGTCGCAAATGGCACTCACGAGAGAAATTTGAGATCTGAAAAAGCATACGCAGCAGCTTCTGGTGGATTCGCAAAAACTGCAAAAAAAAAAAACTTAGCTCATGGGACGTATTTGGCGTTCTCCAGAAAAGTATATAGCTGTACATTTTTAGAATAAGCCTGGGTTAAGACTGTATGGGAAACCTGTTTGAAAACAGTCAATTCAGACATAAAATGCCACATTTAAGCTTTAAAATGTTGATTTAAGAGAGTAAGATTTTGCTTTAACATGGTAAGGACACAGTTTAAAGGGGCCAATCACACAGAACACATTTTAAAAATGTTTAATAGCATCCCACACATGATTTTGGACTCTTAAAACACACAGGCGCTCTAGGCTGCATGTTTTTTGTCATCTCCTTCTCACTCGGTTCTGTGTGAATGACTCCTCACAATGCGAATATTTTTCATGCACACCCACAGTTTACATACAAAAACAATTCATCCACACATCCACCTACTAGACTGCATCCTTCCATTTCATCCTAGGGTGTGTTCACACTTGTAGTTCAGTTTTCTTTGTGGTTCTGGTTTGCTTAGCTTCCATGCTGCCATTTTTAAGATGAAACCTACAGTCGCAAAACAAAACAAGCAGCCTTTATGGAGTATATTTTGAGACAGAACGTCTAAAACAATGCTGTGTTTTCTGCTAAACGAGGTCATTGTGTGTGTCTATATGATATGGCATCAGTTCGCAATTGATCAAGAGCTTATAAAGGAGTCAAAACAGCAGTCGTATTAAATTTTAACTGAACCAAATCCGCCAAATGTGAACACATCCCTTAGTTAAAATGAAATCAAACTTCCACAACAAACAATCACTGCTCGGTTACATTTTTAAGAGGCATTCTTCTTAAAAGATGCAGTGAAATTGGATAAACCGTATTGCAAATAGAAATCACAGGTTGATGACAAAAAACCTCTCCTCGCACTTAAGCAGGCGCATCTAGATTCTAGATTGTAATAGAGCTCTCAGCTTCTCCTGACCTGAGGGAAAGCGAGACATTAGGAGTGGATGGACTAGTTCCGCTCCAGCAGTGGCAGTTTTTATGCTGGTTCATCCACGAGCAGCTTCAAACGGTGCAGAAACAGGGAGAAGCTCAACTCCACACCCTGTTCTCTTACACTGCTAGATCTTTAGCAGCTAAAGTAAAATGATCTTACAGTGTGAGTCCTCAAAACTTGCTTTAACATATTCTGATAGTCCTGCACCACCCGATAAAGGGGGCAGAAATATAGTAGATTATTAAATAGCGAACGCTTAATTTGTACCGCTACACATCACTCCAGAGAGCTGTGTTGATAGATAAAGTCACTCCCGATACGGATCCTTGGATCGAAGGTTGACTGGAATGAAAATAAGACTGTGAGGGGATGGAGTACACTTTGTGTTATACTATGGAGTCGTTAGCCAATAAAATACTGAAATATACATTCCACAGATTTCCAGTGGACAAAAAATATCAACAAATAGAAAAATAAAAAACAAAAATGTTTATGTTATATACTGAACCATGTACTGTACTTTTATCCATCACAGGCTGTTTTTCTGTTCACGTTAAATATTCTGTTTATTCTGTTTATGTAAGTCTTGTGCATCATTTGAAATTGAATTGAATTTATGAAACAGAATTGGAAGAAGTGAACTTAAATTCTGTGTAAGTGTTAAAGGGCACCCATTTTACCCCTTTTTCAAGATTTAAGATAATTATGTTGAGTCTCCAGAATCTGTCTGTTTAGTTTCAGCTCAAAACACCCATCAGGTCATTTATTTTAGCTTTCATAATATTAGAATTTTCTGCTTTAAACACAATGTAGCTGTTTTTGTTACCTGCGCCTTTGTTGCTAGTACTCCCCTCCCACCATTCCCACGTGCCTGTCAGAGTGTGCCTCAATTTCCGACTCGACTGCATCAGATAAACAGCACAGTAACAAACATGAAGGAAGCAGATCTCACGTAACGTTTGTGATACTACTACAGTAAGAAATTTCCCAATGATTATTTGATTTATTTGTTGTGGAGTAAATTCAAGTCTTTCTGCAACGATGAGTCACACACAATGTCGTCAAAATTAACTTGATTTAACGTCCACAAACCGGGATTAAAGCGTTTCCTTCTATAATTGTTCTGACATGCGGCTGTGGTGATAAAGACAGTAAAATCACTGTAATTCATTTCAAACGTGCATCATAAACTTGTAAAACTAATTCTTGATCACATTTGATGATGACTGATGATCACAGCGAGCTGAACAGATCTTTTAATCCCGGTGGCTTTGCGCAGGCTGTGTTTATACACATTACTGCAGAGAAATGTTAATACGCGACTGTCAATCAATTCAGTGGGCGGGGAAACCACACTTCTACGTCATGTTGCGGTGGGCCACAAAATGGGAGGGATTTGGATTCTATTTCAACGTCAGGAAACTTAAAAAAAAGACTTATTGTCTCTATATCACCCCAATATGACTGTGGAAACACTAAACTTACACACCTTTCTGTCCAAACAGCTTTAAAAAATATGATTTTCATCATAGGTGCCCTTTAGGTCTAAGTTTTATATATAAGAAACCAATGAACCCACCAATTATCCCACAAACTCAACTATTTAATAGAATAGAGTTAAATACCCAGGTTTTAACTGATTTTGTTTCAAATCAAAGTTTTTTATGATTTAACTTTTAGCTAGTTTGTTTACACTTTAACAAAGAATCTTTTAAATCCTTATGGGAAAAATGTCTTGGCTCTGCTTAAAATGTTAGCAGACACTATTACCCTCAATTTTAAATTAGTGAATTCCCCTTCCTGTCATTCCAATTCAATTTCATGTGAGACATGGCTAATTCAATTCAAATTCACACCAATGAACTGAAAAGATGCCAATTCTAAAATTTCAATTATAGTCTTTGCATTGTATTAAACATTCAATTTTGAGCTCATAAATGAAAACTAACTGAATGTACAAGACATGGAACAATTTCTGCACAGTCTTTGTTTGGTCTCATTGGTCTCCCTGGAAAAAAATCTACACCAGCGACTTTAATGAACATCTAAGAGCTGAAAAAATACTTCAGGACAAGCTGGTGTCTCAGTATCTTCCTGTGAAAGAGAAAATCAACCCTCCCATTGGAACATACGGCGGAAGAAGCGGTATAGCCCTAGATGGGTCTCTCAGGGATGGAAGCAGACGGATCGTATTTCTTTGGTTGTGGGAGCATCCAAAAATCTACAGCTCACAAGGGGTCTGCAGTCTACTAAGCCAAAAAGATAACATTGGGGAGGGAAAACCGATACACCTGGGCCATGTATTACATAGTCTGCTGTGTACAGAGTCTTTTCAAAGCCCTACATACCTATCATTCCAATCTGAATGAACTTCTGCTTCCAGCTGCCACCTGCCTGTTTCATCTTCATATATCTCCACACACACACACCTGGTTGAGCTCTCCACGCTCCCCACCAGAACTCAACCAAGTCTAGCTTTCTCAACATGAACTATTTACAAACTCACAACTACACGTACAAGGACATTACACATACATTGGTAACACTTTATTTTGATGGTCAATTTGAGTTTTAGTAGACTGTCTACTTAATATATGTTGATACTGCTGCTAAACAAACATTTAATTGACTGTAAGAAACTTTGCAAGTGCATGTCAACTTACACTAACTGTCTACTTATAATCTAATGAGAATTAGTTGCAATGTAACTTAAATTCAACAAACGGACCATCAAAATAAAGTGTAACACATACATTTTGCCCTCAAGAAATGGAATTAAACATTGTAACTTCTTTAACCAGTCAAACCAGAAAAATAAATATGTACAAAAAAGTGGGGGGAAAATGCACGTGAATATAAAATATTCAAAAGGAAAGCCTACAGAAGTCTTCCAGTCTTTACATTCAAGATGGGCCAATCAGGTTAAAAGAATTTGTGACCCATTCTGGCCCATGGCATCAGGATAGCTTTGTTCAGTCTGGTTGTCGGCATGTTCTTTACGTTTCCCAGTAAGACAAAGAATAAATCAAAGAGGACATTTTAAATGAGGAATGCTCGACATCTGTTGTTTTGAGGGAAGATCTCAAGAGGTCCATCCAGTAAGGGACAGAAATAAAAAATAAAAAAAAAGAAAACACAGCCAATCATCAAAAAAAAGTTGGGTGACTGAGTTTAAAATTCCATCATGCAGTAAAATGTATCTGAAGAGTCTTTTTCTCCACACATGCAGATAGTGGAGAAGTTATTTACATTCACGCCGGCAAACCTTTTTGTTTTCCTCTCGCCTTTTTTTTTCTTTTTAAGGATTCATGCTACAAAATGCCAAAAACCTGATATCAAAATGTCAAAAAGCACAATCTTAAGTTTTAAAAATCTTTTTGTACTTGTTTTGCACATAAAAAAAAACAAACTTTGAAGATAAAAGTTTTTTTTTTTTTGTATTTTTGCATCCATATGAAGAATGTGAGCATGTGTGCACGTGTTTTGTGTGTCGATCTCTGTGCGAGTGCAACTGTACATGGCAGTGACGAGCATCACAGTCAAAAGTGTGGCAGCGCTCCTGCGAGTCCTCATTCTGTATTCTTTTTCTTTGCGTTTCTTCACTCCAGAGAGGGTGATAGAGCATGAGCGCCGCTGCTCCCGCGGCTGGAGGGCCATCGGATCAGCGGCGGCCTTTGAAGGGCACTGGAGCCGAGCTTAGCGGGGCAGTGCAGCGCTGAAAGATGCTTTGATAAGCTGAAGAGGAGAGACAGGCAGAGAAAGTGAAATAGATTGGCATGGAGACCGCAGAGGCTGTCACTTCTGAGCAAAAAAGGCTCCGATGGTCACTCCTGCCAAGCCCAGCGCCGCCAAGCCGAGCACTTTTGTTAGGTATGAAAACGGGTGGAACACAGAGTCTCTCTGCTGACCGTACATCTCCACGAAGGCATCCTGAAAGAGAAACAGAAGGGTATTAGGAGCAGACAATTACAAATCACATTATTGCACTAGTGAAAATGAGCAAAGCATGGATAATAAATGCCAAATAAATCAAATTAAATGTTTGTTTGTTTGTGGAATGACCACCAAACTTGCAGCAAATTTCCTATGTATGTATCTATTTTATACCCTTTGCTTGCCCCTGCGGTCTATGGTGCATGAAACTGCTAAATGAATTAAGGTAAAATGGGTTGTTATTACAGTCTTACAGAATCTTTGATTAGATTCGATTTGCCTCAACATTACTGTGATAATTCTAACAAATATTTAAATAATTATATATAAATAAAGTATTTTTTTAAAATAAAGTATGGTTCTATGATTTAGCCTATTTATGTTTGCATAGACACTCAAATGTAAAATACTGGTGTACTGACAGCATCTAATTATACAGTATTTAGTTATACAGTTACTCATTTTCTTTCATCTGCATTGTTACAGATTGAGCGGATAAGGGTCATATTTTCACACATTAACAAATTAAATTCTCTTCTGTACATAACAAAAGGGTGTATGCAGCAAAACATTGGCATTTAAATTGCTTTGGGTATGGCTTGTGCATTTTTGTAATTGTACACTGCCTGACAAAAGTCTTGTAAAGGATCCCAGTTTTAAGAGCAACAAATAATAACTTGACTTCTAGTTGATCATTTGGAAAAGTGGCAGAAAGTAGATTTTTTTCGATGAATCATCTGTTCATCTGCATTCAATTCATCAGAAATACTGCAGAAGACTTACTGCAACCCACATGGACCCAAGATTCTCAGACAAATTAGTCAAGTTTGGTTGAAGGAAAAATCATGGTTTGGGGTAACATTCAGTATTGAGGCATGTGAGAGATCTGCAGAGTGGATGGCAACAACAACAGCCTGAGGTATCAAGACATTTGTGCTGCTCATTACATTGCAAATCACAGGAGAGGGCAAATTCTTCAGCAGGATAGCGCTCCTTCTCATACTCAAGTGGTGCTCGCTGCAGAGCCATTTGAGGAGAGGTGAGCTCCAGAGAGGGGGAGCTTAAGCTTGAGCTCCACCTTTTTTGCACTTCTTCTACGAGTGATGTCACTGGGGTTAGGGTTAGGGGTGGGGTTGGTGTACGCATTAAAACAGCTTACAGGAGGAGGAGCGACAGCTCATGCTCCCCCTCTCTGGAGCTCACCTCTCCTCAAATGGCTCTGCAGCGAGCACCCTCTCCTCATACTTCAGCCTTCACATCAAAGTTCCTGAAAGCAAAGAAGATCAAGGTGCTCCAGGATTGGCCAGCCCAGTCACCAGACATGAGCATTATTGAGCATGTCTGGGATAAGATGAAGTAGGATGCAAAGAATCTTGATGAACTCTGGGAGTCCTGCAAGATAGCTTTCTTTGCCATTTCAGATGACTTTATTAATACCTTTTTTGAGTCATTGCAGGGATGTAGTCGTCCAAGCTCATGGGAGTCATACACAATATTGATTCTTTATTAACTGCACCATGACTTTATATTCTATACTGGACATTATTTCTGTTAAATTACAAAGGTTTTGTTCAAGCATAAAGTCAGACCTTCCTGTCCTAATTAAATTAACTACAAATCAAGGCATGATCATATTTATTTTGGTAAAATAAGCATAATCTAGAGGTCTTTGTTTTTCATATAAGCCCATTCTGATACCAAATGATCAACTAGAAGTCAAGTTATTATTTGTTGATCCTAAAACTTGGATAGGCTCAAAACTTTTGTCAGGTAGTGTACTGTAGGTGTTGCTTTTCTTTATACTGTAGATATTTTTCAGATGCATCTTTAGGTTCAGATATACAGTAGGGGTAAAATGTAAAGTAAAGTACCAAAATATAAAAATAACTAATTGCTAAAATAGCAGTTTGTATTTTGGGGCTGCGCTGTGATTCTTAAAGAGACTGCTATAATAAGCTTTTAAAGGATTCTTGTTCCAACAATGCAAGATATTTTCAGGTATATAAACCACTATCTTCCTAGTACCGGATTGCAGCTGGAAGGGCATCTGCTAAAAACATATGCTGAAATAGTTGGCGGTTCATACCACTGTGGCGACCTCTGTTAAATAAAGGAACTATGCCGAAGTAAATTGAATGAATGAATGAATAAATAAATCACTATCAAACTTAAAGACATTGATCTTCTGTAAATAATGGCAAACATGCACAATTCTCAGGAACAATTCTCTTAAACAAGACACACAGTCATTTATTAACAAAAAACCATTTGAGAAACCAACATATATATTTCAGGTCAAATATGCACACAAAATGATTTCCAAGAATTGAAATGTGGATATTAATACACACTTCAATCAAATCATTGGATTATCAATTACCAAATGAATCATTATTTAAAGCCCTAATTCTGCCAAAAGACGAAAAGGCAACAAGCACACAAATCTATGTCACACATTTATCACCGTCTGATAGAAAGGTCTGTAATGTGTAGTGTATCTAATTGCCATGTATAGGGAAATTAGGCATTTCGCTAGGGTGTCTGAAACGACTGCATCCCTCCTCTTCAACAGACACTCCACATCTGTGTATACAAATTCCTCCGGGACGCCGTCCAGCCCGGAGAGAGAAGCACGTCGAGCGAAAGAGGGGGCAAGCACAAAGAAGACAGCTCAAATCCACAACATTGAGCCCACTCACAGAGGAAGAGGAGGAGGAAATAGGGAAATAAAGGAAGAAGAGTGTATAAACCAGAGTCTCTATGCCAGGACTTCCACTGTCTCATCACTCCTACGCACAGACGCCGTTTCCTTCTCCACTAAAGTAAAACATCTTTCATGCATCTGTATAACCAAATCCTACAATCTGCATTTGGCATGATGAAACGACAGAGTTCTTGTTTACACGTCCATTTATAAAAAAATAATTAGGTTGTTTCCCCAGAGCTGGCGGTGTAAATGAATAGTATGGGACAGTCCCTTTCGAAATTAACTTCCAGGAGAATTCACAGCCGTAGGTCACGGACACGACAAAACATTGCTGATGCAATCAAATGATACCATCGATTTGTCTCGATCTTCAGGCTGTTGGTGAAGCAGCGTGAGGGATTGGCCCCCTGCGTAAACAAGAAGGTGTTTGTGAACGTGTGAATGTGTCTTTGCATTTACGTGAATGCGGTGTGAGTGTGCCTCGACTGGTGTTTTTGGGTTTAATCAAAGACCCCCAGCAGGATCCACCAAGGTGCAGGGTTTTTGGGAGGAATGTGAATATCAGAATCGATAGTCAATGGCTGACTCTCAAAAAAACAAAAACAACTAAAACATTGATAGTGTTTACTGCACTACTGTTCACTGATTCCACTGAATCCATGTTTGGAAACATACAGTGTGGTCTGATTCATGAACAAATGACTCTTATGAGGTGGTTCATTTTATTTAAGTCAAACATATTTACGTGAACTGATTTGCACTCAGATTTTATTAAAATACTAAACAAATGACTTTTTGTGTGCTACAGTTCCTTTTAATGAATCAAACATGTAGAGTTGAACAGTATAGTCTGATTCCTGAAGCATGTCCTGAAGTTAAACAATGATTTTTAATGCATTTTATTGATTATTGGATAATGTGGCTGATTTATTGAACCACAATTTAGATTTTTAGGAAAGCATACTTAAAATTAACCATGAATCTTACAGTATATGTAGACATAAAATCATTATGGTGGCTTGAGAAAGCCAATATACTGTTATACAACATATTCTTCCATCTTCTTTTTCTTAGACTATTTTAAGAACGCATCACCTCCTACAACGTTCATACTACAACCACCAAACTAACTCCAAACTAATCTCACTCGAGTTGCTATTACCAATCTGCCAACCACCGATCCCGTTTCAACTAACTAGCCACAGCCTAGCAACCACTTACAGCACCATAGCAACTGTCCCATAGACTTCTATTGCAAAAAAAACTGCCATTGACTTTACACTGGACATACTAAAAACACACCAAAATCATACCAGCAATATACTAATCTACAGAAACATACTAATGACAATTATTCTAGAAACATACTAACGACAATCATTGTAGAAACATACAAACAACAATCATTCTAGAAACATACTAACGACAATCATTGTAGAAACATACAAACAACAATCATTCTAGAAACATACTAACGACAATCATTATAGCAACATGCTAATTTATACTAAAAGCATACTAGCAAACAGGCTAGTTCATACTAAATTTATGCTAACAACATGCTAGTTTATACTAGAAACATGCTAGCAACCTGCTAATTCATATTAGAACCATGCTAATAATATGCTAATTGGTGTTAGAAACATACTAGCAACATGCTAATTCATGCTAGAACCATGCTAAAATATGTTAGCAAACACTCAGAACAAACTAGCAACCACCTTGCAACTAACGTGCCTACGTAAACATGCAAACTAAAATATATATGTAGTTCTGACTGTTTTAAACTTCGTAAACTATTTCAATTATTTAAACTTTTAAGCTTCAAACTTTCAGACGAGGCTTTCTCAAGCTACCATAAAGTTTGCGAGCTTTTCTAGTTGTAGTTACTGACTTTTAAAAAAATGTATAATGTTAACACATTTCTTGTTAAATAGCTTTAATTTACAGTTATGGACAACTGAGAAATATTAAAAATGCCTTTAGACACCTAAAAATAGGTCTATAATCAGTTTTTGAATTTGTTATACAGTATATCTGTCCTTCTGAAAACAGAAATAATAAAAATTGAATGTCAATTTTGAAACGCTTCCTAAAATCTTTAAGATACATAACTGAGGTATCAGAATCCTTAAGAGGAATATCCTTTAGCATCCTTTAGATCTACATCCTAAAACACAAGCAAGCATCTGTGTGTGTGTATCTGGATCTCCAGATCCCCATGCAGCACACAGTTCCCTACTTAATAAGTAAAGCTCTGGTTTTATTGTGGCTGACAGCGGTGCGTGAT